GCTGGAGACCAAGGTACAGAGACAGTTTTCAGGAAAGCACGGGTACAGCGATTTGAGTTGGGGGATGAACATTTTTTCATGGAACACCATTTTCCCTAGAAAGGATGACTGATACATACACTGTGGCTCTTCAGACGTGGGTAGTTGGCAGATATTTTTCTCTCCCAAATGATGAAGTTAGGGCTGTTACTTTAAGGAAACAAGTGATGGTGTCTGCTGCCAATGAAGAAAATTTGTTTTCAAACCAAAAAATGAGAATGTTGGAAAGCTTGTATCCTGCATGATGAGCTGTCAGATTTTTCTCATCTTTAAGAAACCAAACACCACTTGTCAAGTTTGGGTGCAGTAGTCAGACATCGTAAAGATTTCAATAACGTGAAACAATGCCCTTCTTACTAATGGATATAGAAATTTTTTAAAAAAATTTAAAAGTACGTTATTTAGAGGAACATGTAGTGATTTATTATTGTTATTTTAAAGAACTTATTTATTTATTTAATGTTTAGAAGCGTTCTCAATTTTAAGCTCTGATACAGTAACTCTCACGACGTGGCCCACATAAATGAAATTCTATAGTGCAGTGGTTCTCAACCTTCTGGCCCTTTAAATACAGCTCCTCATGTTGTGACCCAACCATAAAATTATTTTCGTTGCTACTTCATAATTGTAATGTTGCTACTGTTAGGAATCGTAATGTAAATATCTGATATGCAGGATGGTCTGAGGCGACCCCTGTGAAAGGGTCATTCGACCGCCAAAGGGGTCGCGATTCACAGGTTAAGAACTGCTGCTGTAGTGTCTTCAGTCATTTTCAAGAGGGTTAGAAAGCTTCAACTGAAATCTCAGTTCTGTTCTCCTTGGCAAATTACTCAACCTCTCTGTGCTTCATTCTCCTCCCGACTGTGGAGATAATTTTAACCTACCTCATAAAGGTAGGTTGTGAGGATTAAAGGAAGCTTAATGTATGTAAAGTGACTAAAACCATTTCTGTCACAAAACAAGTGCTATAGAAGTATTTTAATAATAGTCACTATAACAGGCTGTAATAGTGTGATGGTCTATGTCTCCACCAGGCTCTGAGGCCCTCCAGCATTTGTCTCTGATTCATTCATCTCTGTAGCCCAGCACAAAGCTTAGAACCCACCAGATGGTCATAACATTTGGAGAGTGAACGAATGAGAAGCTGGGAGAGAAGGCAGGGCAGATCCCAGCTCTAGTCCCCATAGGTAACCAAATTCATGAACCAGGAAGCTCGAGGCCAAAGTGGTAAGAGTGAAACTTTAAACAGGAGGGGGAGCCATGAACCAGACCTGGATTGAGGTGGGAGCAGGTCAGGGTGAGAGAGGAGGGTCCCAGATGTTTCCAGGCATTTTAAGTGGGCAGCTTTCCATGAGCTGCTGTGTGGTGTATGCCAGTCAGTGTACCAGGCTCTGTGAAGAGGCAGGGTGGAGACCGGCCCCACCTACTGGTGGGGCTGGGTAACACAACCTGCCTGACAACCAGGATTGCAAGCCAGACTTGCTAACAATGGGGATTTCTGATTCTGCTGCTGGATGGGGTGGGGAGATGGGAGCAGAAAGGATTAAGGATAAGAGCATCAAGCCCTAACCCATTTGGCTCAGTGGATAGAGCATCAGCCTGCAGACTCAAGGATAAGAGCATCTCCTAATTTTTGGACCTTGAGTTTTACACAATTCAGTACGTGCTTGACCTTTTTGTCTTTGTCAATTGTTATTCTGAGTTATTTTTGGACATCCAGGAAGGAAGGAAAAATGTCATTCGCTGTCTACTGTGTGCCAGGTGCTTTATTTGTGCTTCCCTGTTTAATCCTCACAACTGCCTTGTGAAGAATATGCCAGTGTCCCCATTTTGGATATGGGAAAACTGAGGCTCGGGGAGTATAAGTGATGTATCTATGCTCACATGGCTAATCAGAAGCCTACCTGGCATTTGAAGCCAAGTATATGTGAATACCAAGTCCATAACCTTTTAAAAAACAAATTTTGTATTTTTTTTTATTACACAAGTAATGCTTTTTTTTTTTTTGTCTAAAAAGGAGAAAATACTGATAACAAGTCAAAAATAAAAATTACCCATAAACTGTACCAGTCAAATATAAGAACTATGGTCCCATTGGTAAGTCTTCAAATTTTTTTCCATGTATATATTTGTAACCTTCTCCTCTGCTTAACAATATATTACAAACATCTCTCTATGACTACAAATGTGTCTCTATATCACTTAAAAAGACCACATAGTATTTCATTATATAAATGGACCATTTATTTAACCAGTCTTGTGTTAAATATTTAGCTTATATTTAATTTTCCACTAGTATTAAAAAAATGTTGCAAGAAATATCCTTGCAGCTTAATCTGTGTGTACATATTTACTTCCTTGGGATAAATTCCTAGAAATGAAATTGATTATTTACAGTGCATTTGAGTTTTAAAGACACTTCAATATAGTATACTGACAGCTTATTCCCTAGGGAAGTTACCAGAATTTTATTTCCCACCAGCAGGGTGGACAATCCTGTTTCCCTGCTCCCTCAACAAGGGAGTCTAAGAAGACCTCCTCGAGGTGGATAGTCCAGTGCAAAATACCTGCTTTAGAATCCCATATTCTTTCAATTCCACTTTCTTGCTTCTTGATCCAGCTCTCATAATGTTCTGTACTAGGATCCAGAAAATTTGAATATGTTAGTTACCCAGGAGACAATCTCTATTTCCTGCCTGAGCTGGGTCGGGTGGCAGTGGCCAGGGAGCCAGGTGGAAGGGAAGGTATGGGTCTCAGTTTGGTTAGGCAATGGAACAGGTTGGATGGAGAGTAATGGGGTGCTGGTAATTAGTCTCACACACAGGGTGTTGATTAGTGGTTAGAGGCTAGCCCAACTGCACTGTGGGAAGGGTGAGTGCTGCCAGGGGTGCTTGCCCCCCTCCCTCCCCAGAACTGTGGCGGGCAGTCCAGATGGAGAGTAGGTGCCAATAACTGCACCAGGGCAGGTGAGGTCTATGGGAAGAGGGATGGGCAGGCACCCTGATAAGGGGCAGACAGCAGGGAGTACAGACATGCACCTCTGTAGGCAGCAGCTTCAAGAGGATCAGGGAGTAGTGGGATTTCAAATGTAGGGAAGAGTGCTCTGGGCAGCTGAATATCCTACCCAATGGTCCCCAGCGGCCGTCGCCAAAGGGTCTGTCTCACAATGTGACATTCACTCCTTTGGTGAAATCTTCATAATCCTGCGGGCTTTTAGGCTTCCCCGTCTACTTTGGGAGGTTTCTGGCAGCATATCTGTGACTCAGGGGTAGATGCTGCTCCTGAGATAGAAGGAGGTCTCAGAAGCCAGACTGTTCATGTAACTTTCTAAATCAAGATTACAGGGACAGAATGCTCTCTTTGGCATCATACGTGTATGCTTTCCCTGCAAGCAGACCTACCGGGAAGGCTGTGTGGTAAGCATGACATAGGAATGAGGAGAAATAGACACATAAAGTGTTGAATAGTGTCTTTGTAAGGCTTCTGAATTATTTGTCAAGTAGCAGGGGCAGTCCTGCCAATGAGGCTGTAATATTACAAGTTTGACTACGTCTTCGGGCACTGTCCTTCGGTTTGACTTTGTGACCTTCTCTTTTTTTCCATTGAAATGGTTGGCCAGCTGGGCTGCAGTGTGACTCATCTTTTTTAGGAAGCCACGGGGGTTTTCAGCCTCTCCTGCCTGTGGGATCTTGGAAAGCTATTCCACCCCTCGGAGCTCCAGGGAGTTGCTGAGAAGATTCAGAGGGAATAGTTGGGCTCTACTTTATTTATTTGTTTGTTTATTTATTTTTAAATATATATATATATTTTTTTTACTGATTTCAGAGAGGAAGGAAGAGGGAGATAGAAACATCAATGATGAGAGAGAATTATCGATTGGCTACCTCCTGTACACCCCCCAGTGGAGATCAAACCTGCAACCCAGGCATGTGCCCTGACCGGGAATCAAATAAACCCTGATCTCCTGGCCCATAGGTTGACAATCAACCACTGAGCCATGCCGTTCAGGCTGCTCTGGTTTTCAGGGGTGAAGAACCTGCCACTCAGGGAAGGCATAACTCCTCTGGTTCTCTACTTGCCTGCCATCTATGTGGCAGACTCCGGTCTGTCTATCTTCGAAGGACGCTCAGAACGGTTCGATGACTCCCTAAAGATCCCACAGCCCGTGGCAAGGAACTAAACCTGGACCGTCTGGCTCCATAGTCTGTGCTCTTTCTATTATAAACACACCGCCTCCCCAACACCCTAATTTCAGCTGCCTGCCAGAGAAGGTGCCTTTCACAAAGGGGCCCAAGTTAGCAGAAATGTCATCGAGTGGACAAGCCAAGTGCCTGCTTGTCCTCGGGGTAGTTCTGACCTTTGCCCTGTGCTCCCACTGCTGGGCTATTTTGAGCCTGGGGGTGTGAGGAGGGTCTGTGTGGGAAGCACTGCTGCTACTGCTTCACTCGGCCAAGAACCACCGATGGGAGAACTTTGGAACTGCGACCTGCCGAGGGCCTGAGAGCCTCCTGGCTTTCTGGACAGCAGAGGATCCCGCATTCATGGGAGACAACGGAGAAGTGGAAATCTTTCCATGAGGCATTCTGGAATGAAGGCAAGTGGGAACAGAAGCCAGCCTGCGTTCCAGAAGACCTCACTGCTGTGGAACACGGAAGAGGAAGTGGGCGTCAGAGGCTGGGCATTGGGGAGTGAGACAGGGGTGGGCTTGGTGCTAGGGTGGCCTCTGTAGGGAGTCAAGTTCCTGTACAAACGGACATTCATTTGGCCTCAGGATCTCTGGGGACTGTCTGGGTGTGAGGGTTCAGGCTAGAAAAACATCTCCTTGGCTGCGAACTTGCAGTGGCTACTAGCTATTTTCCACATCTCCAACCAGGGCAGGTTGTGAGTTCAAGGACCTCAGCCTGGCCGACAGTGATGGTGGAGGAAGTCCCAGATGCCTCATCCCCAAGGTCTGTGAACTTCAGCAAGGTCCAGGCCTGTGGAGGTTCACCAGCTGAAAACACAGTGAAGTCACTTAATTTTTTTCCTCACAGAAAGATGAGAAGTTAAAGAAGCAGGACTAGACTCCAATCAGGAGCACTTTGTCTCTGATATTAATTAATTATCAATTGATACAATCACCATTTATGAAGTGTCCACCATGTGTCGGATGTGATTCTTGGTGACAGGGACACAGGAAAAAGGAAGACATAGGCCCTGCCTCAGGAGAGTCTTGTGAGGGAGACAGATACCTAAACAGATGAGTAGGCAGCCCTGGTCCTGCAGGGCCTGTGTTCAGACCAAGGAGCTGGTGGTGTAGGAAACCACCGAGGGGTTCCCAGCAGGCAAATGGTAGGGTCTCTGGCCACTTTTGAAGGTGAATTTGAGAGGACCAAACCTGGAAGCAGGGAGACCCCAGATTTCAGAAACATGCAAGAATTTAAGAATACTACACAGAGGTCACACTATTATAGGCAAGGTAATCTAGGAAGCACTGACACTCAACTTAAATGAGAACCTGATTGATTTGTCACTTGACTCTTCATGAAACACATGTACAGCTCTTTTGAGCCTCCTAAAACTCCTGGCATCACCAAGGTCTCCCCAAAAGTTTACTAGGAGGGGACTCAAGCTCTATTCCCAGGAGGTTCAGGATATCTTCCTTTGAAAGTGGGATGGGTGAGTTCTCCTCTCTTGAAGGAGGGGCACCATCCTGCCCCTTCCTAATGTCCCTGAGACTTCTCCTCAGCTCTCCTTATTCTTTTCCTGCTCTGGAAGTTGGGTGGCCTCATCAGCATATAACTCAGGAAGGGTGAGCTAGATGACTGTGAGGCCTCCAGGGCATAGCCAAACCGGGAGACATTCAGGCTGGGAGGAGACACCAGAAAGTTGTTAGCTGGGAGGCAATCACAGTATCTATAGCTGAAGGAAGGGTTTGGAGGGTCAAGGTCATTAGGCAAGGTGAAGATATAAATGGAAAAAGGGCAATGGACTCAGAATCTAGGAGGATCAAGAGCAGGTGGAGTGAGGTTGGAGGAAGAGAAAATGACAGAGAGCTGGGGACCCAGTACACAGAGGACAAGATTTGTGCTGTGTACCCTCTTTTTGCGGTTCCATGTACTAGAGGTTCAGGCATGT